GTATGGTGTTTCCCCCAGAAATCGGGGTTTAGTTCATGACAAAATTAAGATAAATTGATAGGGTTTTGTTCATCATGTTCTAAATCAACAATACACAACTAGTTCGGTTTAGAAAATCCAACCAACTAATCGCTCTCGTTGAACTCAGCTCAAGCCTGGAAGAAGGCGATCGAAATTCGCCTGCTCGCCTTTGCTCTTGCTGCCTGCGCCCTTTTTGCTTCCAAAGAACTTTCGCCTCTCCAAAGAATAAAGTTCTTTTTTTTTTCGCCTCCACAAATAATCTGCCCTCTTTTATTCCGTTCCCAGCTGCCTTCCCCTCCTTTAAGTTGCTGCTGCTTTTCTATTTTCCCTCCGGCCAAGAAATAAAGTTCCACCCCTGGTTCCTCTCGTAATTGCCTTGCCACCAATTAATTCTCCACGAAAATCCCTTATTTCCCCTAGCTGCTTTTGTTTTTCCCAAAGAAGATTCCGTCCAAAAATTCCCTCTCGACCCAGCCTCTGTCCAATTTTAATTCCCCATCTCAATCCCCTTGCAGCCGCCAAATCCACTTGGATTAATTCCCTGGCCCAAGTCCAAAGAATTGCCATCCAAAGCCCAGCTTCGAGCATTGTTTGTCGGTGCAATTTCTTTTTCGTGTTTTCTTCACCTGTAATACATCAAACTCATGGCACTAGGCAGTAATGGGTTTTCAACCATTCTCGGGTTAGCGAGCCTTAAAATAGCACCAATTGGCTAAAACATACCACAGATAATCACATAAAGTCCAAGAATCCGATATATTAAACCCTAATATCAACGACTATAGAAAGAGAATTAGAATTAGTAAATTTAATTAATATGGAACATCTAAAGTATACTATTAGAAAATTACAAGGATATTTAACTTAAAAAATTATGCAACATTAGCATGATGTACGACAATTAAATATAATATCCTCAGATTATTTATATAGATATAGAATTCATAGGATATATTTGCTTCAGCAAATTATTCAATTATTATAACGTATAATGGTAATTGAAAATACTTATAATGATAATTAATACTATATTTCCTATTTAAAAATTGGTTTGGTATTAAAGTCTTCAAAAGAGGATTCCAACTAAAAACAATTTATAGGATATATTTGCTTTAGAGAATAATTCAATTATTAGAAAACATAATGATAATTGAAAATACTTATAATGATAGTTGATTCCAATGCAATAAAAATAGCGCTTTAAAACTTAAAAACTTACGATCTTACGCTTTTAGGTCAGCAAAATGCTTTCGTTTCTATTTAAAAACTTTAGTGTATAAAATTGGACAAAATTGGCGATTTAAACCTTAAAAGCTTACGCTTTTACGCTTCTAGTTCACCAAAACGCTTTACGTTTTTACGCTTTTAGTTCAATAAATAGGTATTCTTTTCATGAAATTTAAAGAAAAATTACCAATACTATGATACTTTTAAGATTAAAGGTACATACCAGGTACTTGGATGCATTCTCAGCTTCAATACAGTAATCTAATTCACCATCTAGGCTCTTCCCAAATTCATTAGCATAGAGGGGACGGTGGCTTATTGTTAAGGTTTATGTTTATGAACTTATTATTAAGAGGCTCTAAGTTCTTCTACTTTATGCATGCATTGCATGTATTTATTAACTTCACTAAATTACGTGCACTCATATTTTATATAGTATATGTCGTACTTAACATATTTTTAGTTATTTTACAGCATTCATCAAAAACTTGTGTTTTTACGCTTTAATTCTACGATTTACGATTTTACCCCTTTTCCGCTTCTAGGTAGAATCGCGCTTTTGACTGCATTGGTTGATTCTAAATTTTCTATTTAAAAAAATTAATTTGGTATCAAGTCTTCAAAAGAGGATACCAACTAAAAAATAAAAATTGATGTTTTTCATAAGTCAAAATGATTTTTTACAATAAGAAAAGTAGAAGGACCAATTAAGAAATTTAGAAAACAGAATATTCCAAGAATATTCTGTTAACTTTAACGGAATGCACATAACATTAAACTTAAGTGGTACCGGGTGCACAAATAATAGAGTTTAGTGGTACCCGATGCCCTATTCAAACTTAAGTGGTATCTCTGCCCAAATTCTCAAACTTAACTGGTACTCGAGGTATTTTACCCCTTTTCTTTCATTATTTTTTATTTTCAAATATAAAGTTTAAAAGTAAAGAATAATTAGAGTTTGGCATGGGCATGGGTCGGTCAAACAGGCTGAATTTCAAGTTTTGGCCCGTTTTGATCAAGTCTAATTTATAATCACATGGTTCCCTGATACCCTATAAAAATCTCAATCCAAACCAGTTTGGCAGGTGAGTCCGTGTTTACCACCATTTTCTAGGGATACAGGAACGGTGGTTCCTATACCAAATCGTGTTGTTCATTCTTGATTTCTTTAGATTTTATCATGGCTTGGCAAAAAACCAGAAAGCACAATGATGAGAAGATGAAAGTTTTATAAATCAAATTAATCGACCAACGGGCCGAGTAAAAGCTAGCAACGATTGTGAGATGCTCATTTCCCGAAAACCGGCGGGATAGGCGATTTTTTATTCGATTTTATGGAATTCGGTTTCTATAAAACTTACTCCACCTCATCATATTACGAGAAACAATATTGTTTCACAAGGTGACAGGTACTTGATTTTGGTTCATAAGGCTGATTTTTGATTCGTTGCATCATTCATGTCTCTTTTCTACTAAAATTCACTATTTTTATCACGTGTTTCCCAAAAAAAACTATACAACAATAAGCTATACACCCCATTACATTATCAAATTTCATACCTCACCTTCGTCCGGCCAAATGGTCGGGGCCCACGCTAGTTATGAATAGTTATGCACTCATCTTAAACCAGCAATTAGCAAACAATATTCGGGAACCGGAAAAGAAATGCTTTGCTATTGTTATTATATTGAGAGCTTGCTGTAAGCGGGTATGTTGCATGATGGATAATAGAGTAACTAGACCGTCAATTTCGGCAAGAGTGCCTAGCTATTAATTAAGTATTAAATAAAACGCGTGGATGCTCATAAGTCATAACAAAAAGGAGGCAATACTTACTGGTATTCAAGGGAACAAGAAAATACAAGGGTTGTTAGCTAAACAATGTTGGAGAATATGGACCAATCCAAATTCATTACTCTCCCAAATATATAAGGGTCGATACTTTACCCAATACTCGGTGTTGGAAGCATCAATTGGTTCAAACCCTTCGCGGGGGTGGAGAAGTCTACTCTTTGGAAGAGATCTGCTCCTACAGGGACTAAGATGGCAAATAGGCAATGGGCAAAGAACCCGAGCATTCATTGACAAATGGGTTCCGGAAGATAAACCCTTAACCCCAAGTACTCGACCCCATATTCAAAATGGATCTCTTATGGTATCTTATTTCATAAAAGAAGGTCGAGGGGAATGGAACATTTCAAAATTCGAGAATTGCTTTGAAGCTCAATCTGTTGATCTCGTAAGGAAAATTCCTCTTCCTCAATACTCTCAGCAGAACATTAGAGTGTGGCACTATTCCAAAGATGGAAAATACACAGTAAAATTGGGTTATCACTTAGCTCTGGAAATAACATTGGCAACAAGTCGAAAACCGATAGTGCATATCATCGATCCTCCAATTTGGAAAAAGACTTGGAACATCCAAGTTCCGCCTAAACTCAAGTTCTTCATATGGAAATGCCTCAAAGTCATACTTCCAACAGCAGTGGCCCTTCAATCTCGTGGAGTAAACTGCCTTAAACGATGTCCTGTCTGCTGGAGACATTGAGAAAGTATTGAACATTTACTTTCAGATGCCCCCTAGCCATCAGATTGTGGACTTTAGTGGGATTGAGCAACTTTATTGAGACCGCCCAGACTGTTAACTTTAGTCTATGGTGGCCACATGTCATGGTCTCCCAGACCTCCCCATTCCACATTCTCCAATGCGTTTGTTTACTTTGGAGAATCTGGAAGTCTAGAAATGAAGTGACCTTTGAATTTACCCAACCTCATGTCCGTTCCCTAGCCAGACAGTTCTACAACCAGGTCCTCGAATTCTCCAATCTTCTCCCCCCCTTCCTCCCCGCAGCTCTCTACCACCAATCACGCCTGCCACCACTTGGGTCCCTCCTCCATAAGGTTTTTTGAAGATCAACGTTGACGCAACCGTCAGTGCCTCCGGGTGTTCGTTTGGGCTTGTTATCCGTGGGTCAGACGGGCATGTGTTGTTGGAGATCGGGTTGCAGCATCAAGGAATAGTCAACCCTTATCTGGCTGAGCTGCTAGCGCTCAGGGATGCTATCTCCTTTGTGGCCTCAAGATCCTTGACCCATGTGATAGTCGAAGGTGATTCCGAAGTGGTCGTCAACCAAGTCCGTCAAGGCGTCTCAGAAGACTCGATTGGTGGTCCGGTACTACGAGAGTGTCTTCAAATCCTTAGCTCTTTGTCTGTTTGTATAGAGTTTAGGGCGGTACCTAGATCCGCCAACAGTGCTGCCCATAGAGTGGCGCGTAAAGCACTGCTTTTATCTCTTGTAGAGCTAGAATCTTTTGATTTCTTGGGGTGGCTTCTTTAGTATCTGTTAGGGGTCCTGAGTAGAATTGTAAGCTTAACTATTATTTCTCATTGATATCACTCAGAAAAAAAAAAAAATACAAGGGTTGGTAGGGTTTGCTTTCGTGTTGGCGGTTTCATGAAAATTGTGCTGATCGGCCACTAGCTACCCAGGAGAGATGAACTCTCCAAGCTGTAGCTTTATTAACTGCTAAATAATATGTTTTATTTAGTCATCATTTTTGTTAATTAATGTTGTTCAGTGCATACTCGATAATAAATTCTTTCACATAAAATTCTTAAGTTTACATGAATAAAAAAGGGAGGAAAACTATATGCCTTTTTCTATTATTCAATTGATATGAAAATAACTGTACCGTTTATTAATTATGTTCTCTCTAAGTATTGTATTGATACTTTTACTGATTTACTATTATGAGACGTGCGACTTGGCTCTTGCAGGACGCTGACGTGGTGTGGCTAAGGAACCCATTCCCAATCCTTATAGGCAAAAACAAGAGCGAGACGACAGAAGATTTCCAAATCAGCACCGATGTGTATAACGGGGACCCACACTCCCCCGAACACCTCATCAACACAGGATTCTACTACGTCAGATCCAACAACCAAACCATAAGAATGTTCGAGTCGTGGTACGGTCGGCGAGACAACTCGTCGAAAAAGGAGCAGGACGTGCTGCTAGAGATGTCGAGGGGCGGCGTGCTGACGTCGGAGCTTGGTGTGAAGACAAGGTACCTAGACACCGCCTGGTTCAGCGGCTTCTGCTCCGACATCCGGGATGTCGAGCAGGTGGTCACTGTCCACGCCAACTGCTGTCGAAGCATTATTGCCAAGGTCAAGGATTTGAAGGTGGTCATCGGGGATTGGAAGCGGTGGAAGATGCTGGCTGCTCACTGGAAGGCCACCGGGAGGCGGAGAGCTATTCCTTTCCGATGGACGGGGCATTTTGGGTGTTGGAACTCTTGGAATAATCATAACGTCACCACCCAATTATGATTACTCAAACACTCAACAGTTTTAATTTCTCTTCAATTCTTTCCTTTTTTTGTTCATTGAGTGGTATTTTGCTGACAAACTGTTACGTTTCCCTACAATTATAAAAGCATTTAGCTGCTCATGTGGAAAAGCAAACTCATACCATGCAATCCATGCTTTCATTTCAAGTATATAAAATCAATTTTGCTTATAATTTTATCAAACATTAACACAAATGCAAGTCTCTTCGTGACTTATTAATAACACGTAAATTATACATGTTTTTAGATCCCTTTTCAAACTCCTTTGCTTTGTAATCTTATCAATTTTTTGTGTTGATGTGACTTGAATTGGACTATCAGCTGCTACGACTAGAATAGTCGGGGTTCTGTAACCGTTTTCTTTGCCATATTGGATTAGGTTTAGACCCACATGGAGAAGTATAAATACTTCTCATCTCCTCTGTAATTTGCAATCTCCTCGATATAGTGAAATTGGCTCTCTCTCGCTCATGGACTAGCTAACACACATCGTGTTAGTGAACCACGTAAATCGTACGTGTGTCTGTGTTTTTCGATTCTCGCTTTCGTATTCTTACTTTATCGATTCCGGCGATTTCCCGATCCATAGAAGCATAGGAATAACATTATGTTTGTCCACTTTTATGCTTCGTGTGGTGTTTTAATGTGTTTCAAATCATGACGAGTGATTTTGATGATATTTGGACGAGAAATACACAAAGTACGAAAGCTTTGGAACATTTAGAATGCATTCAGAGGGTTTTCCTGAGGTTCTCGCGACTAGCCCCATGTCCATGAGCCAACCCACGAAAATTAGCATTCCAATTCCCTCAATTGAAGATGAGATTTAATTTATCGAGGGATTCATTGCCAGAGTCGCGCCCGTTAGCCCGGCCGTGAGCACCTGATGGTTGTGACCTGGACAGTAAATGTCACAGACTCCCCTCTAAAACAAGACGTTGTGAAACTTAAAGTTTTGGGCAAGGACTTCTCTCACGCTAGTCCCACGATCGTGACTGTACCCGTGGACGACTCTTTGTCTTAACTATTTAAGAACCATCAAGCCTAGTGGCGAGGGGATTGGGCCATTGATGACTTGATATATACACATGTTTTTGTCCACTATTCCTATACCGTTTGAGTCTCATCTCTGGTGTTTTAGGCCGATTTCATGCTAGGTTCTTCTTGTTTGCGATATTTGAGGTCCTAGTACGTGAAGGAAGGTTAGGGCACGAGTTTGGTGTCGAATGGACGAAGTTGGGACGTTTGACGAAAAGCTGGAAATTCCAAACGGGCATACCTAAATTTCACACGGCCGTGTGACTTGGCCGTGTGGAACCCCTTTGCACGGGCAAGCCACACTGGTCGTGTAAAGGGCCCTTTTTGGCCGCGTGGAATTCCCAGGGAGTTCACACTGGCAGACCTAAATTCCACACGACCGTGTGGTTTTGGCCGTGTAGCGTACCTGGAGTCACTAAATCAAACGCGGCGTTTTGGAGAGCCACACGGGCAGATCTACGCTCCAGGATGCCGATTGGGATGGGTAAGCAGCAAGATGGTCATTATTATCTGAAGTTGTTCGATGACGTGACGTTCACCATGGCCCATGCAGCTCGCACGGATCGTTCCCAGGACTTATGGCACTTCAGATTAGGGCATCTCTCGGCAGAAAAGTTGAATATGTTGCATTAATTTCCTAGTACTCGCAGGCAAACTCATGAGCATTGCTCTTCTTGTTTGAGGGCGAAACATTCCCGCTCTCCTTTTCCTTTAAGTACTATTCGCAGTACCCAGCCATTTGATTTGATTCACGTTGACATCTGAGGTGGTTATAAGGTTCCTTCTTTGGATGGTTCTCATTACTTCCTCACTATCATTGATGATTATACAAGATGTGTTTTGGTTTATCTCCTGCGTTGTAAGTCGGAAGCTTCGCGATCCCTCATGGTTTTTTGTCAACAGACGATACGTCAATATACTCACCCTGTTCGCTGCATTCAAGCGGATAACGGCCACGAATTTCAGACCACTGAAATTCTCGACTACTATAGGCGTGAAGGGATTGTCCTCCAGACCTCTTGCGTCAACACGCCACAGCAGAATGGCGTTGTTCAACGTAAGCATCGCCATCTCTTAGAAGTAGCTCGCCTGTTGCGATTCCATGCACACCTGCCGCTAAAGTTTTGGGGTAACTGTATTCAGACTGCAGCTTATCTGATTAATCGGCAACCCTCTCCTTTGCTTTCAAATCAAACGCGGTTTGAACGTCTTTTTGGGAGGAAAGCCGTGTACTGTCATCTCCGTGTCTTAGGCTGTTTAGTTTACGCCATGAACACTTCTTCTCACCTCGACAAGTTCGAAGAAAGGGGGAGACCTGGTGTGTTCATTGGATATCCTCCAAATCAAAAGGGATATCGAGTGTATGATCAAGCCACTCGACGAGTTTATACCTCACGTGATGTGTTTTTTGTTGAAAACATTTTCCCCTTTGCAGAACAACTAGGACATCAACCCGTGGAACCTATATCGACACCTGCGGTGACACAGCCAGTTCTACCCAGTAACAAACATGGAGATTCAAATACAGTTTCATCAGCAAGTTACCCCTCTTCAAGCTCCGACGACGAGGAAGCTGATTATTTGACTCCTCCCAGCACCGCGGATGAAGGGGAGGAGGAATCTTCGGATGTTTCGGATGTTTGGACCATAACGATGTTGGGTTGAACCAAGAAGGTGACACGGCCGGAACTCAACCTGAACATCCCCAACTGGTCGACGAAGGTCCTCGTCGCAACCCTCCCCGGCGTCGTGAGCTCCCTGCTCGGTACCGAGATGATTACGAGGTCAAGTTACCTCATTCCCACTCTTGCACTATTGACTCTGTTAAGTACCCTATTTTTGTAGTTGTTAATTATTCCCACTTATCCCCTAATCACCGTGCCTTTATTGCCTCAGTGGATGCCACTACGGAGCCCAAGTCTTACCACAAGGCAGTGCGCTACAAGTGTTGGCGGGATGCCATGCAACGGGAGATAGAAGCTCTCCAACGTAATGGCACCTGGGTATTAGAGCATGCACCACCTGGAAAGAAGGTCGTGGCATGTAAGTGGGTCTTCAAGATAAAATACAGACTGAATGGTTCCATCGAGCGGTACAAAGCTCGACTCGTGGCAAAATGATTCACACAAGTCGAGGGAGTCGATTATCACAATATGTTCGCCCCTGTTGCCAAGCTATTCACGGTCCGCTCTGTTCTGACTATTGCAGCTCATCGCGGTTGGTTTCTGCACCATTTAGACGTCAATAATGCTTTTTTGCATGGGGACTTAGACGAGGAAGTCTACATGCGAGTACCACAAGGGTTCGCTGCGCCTAGTGATCAACGTGTTTGTCTTCTCAAGAAATCCTTGTACGAGCTAAAATAGGCTTCACGAAATTGGTACCTGAAGTTCACAGAAGCACTATTGAAATTTGGGTTCACCTAGTCCAAGGCTGACCACTCCTTGTTCACATTTCGGAGAGGGAAGGTTTTCGTCTTTGCTCTAAGTTACGTGGATGACGTGATATTAGGCGGAGATGACTGGGGCCTGTAGCTCAGAGGATTAGAGCACGTGGCTACGAACCACGGTGTCGGGGGTTCGAATCCCTCCTCGCCCACAACCGGCCAAAAAGGGAAGGACCTTTCCCTCTGGAGGTAGGAAAATCGTGATCGGGATAGCGGACCCAAAGCTATGGAACTTGGGTGTGGGTCTTTTGTCGAAATAGAATGGCCTTATTCTTCTTTTTTATCATTGTCGTTAAATCATTAATGGTGTAAAATTTACATATAGTATGCCCAGACCGAATCGGCATATTTTAATGTGTTCTTCGTCATTAATATGTTTGCTCGCGCTAATTGTGGCCGTTCGGGAGAATCGATGACTGTGGACATTCTCATATTTTAATGTTTGACTGGGCCAAGTCTTCTACTCACACCGTTTATTTGAAGTTTGAACGTCTATTGTAAGTTGTAACTGATTGACTGGGCCTATTGATGGAAAGCGAATCTGGGCTTTTGGAAGGTTGAGTTAATGCATGGGCTGGGCCGTCAGTGATTTACAGTTTTACACGAGTAACCGTCTAGGGTTTGCAACCCGAAAATTCGCAAACTAACTATTCAGCAGGTCAAAGATTTCCTAAATGAGAAATTCAGCATCAAGGATCTGGGGGATCTGAAGTATTTCTTGGGGATCGAAGTGGCTCGGTCACCCACTGGCTTAGTCCATTCGCAGCGAAAGTACGTCCTCGATATCCTGAAGGACACAGGTATGATGGGAGTGAAACCATGTTCATTTCCCATTGAACAAAATCATAATCTCACCTCCTTAGAGGGTCCTGCTGCCGCCGATCCTTCTGCTTATCGGCGTCTCGTCGGTCGTCTTCTGTACCTTACCGTAACACGGCCGGACCTAACTTATGCAGTCAACATTCTAAGTAGAGTTGTCCATTCTCCATGGAAGGACCACGTTGATGCAGCTCATCGCATTCTTCGATACCTCAAAGGAGCTCTTGGGAAAGGTTTGTTACTCCCTACGAATGGTTCCTTAACTCTCACTGCTTATTGTGATGCAGACTGGGGAGGGTGCCGCCAGACTCGACGTTCCACTGTGGGGTACTTCATCACTCTAGGCCACAGTCCTGTATCCTGGCGCACGAAGAAGCAGTCTGTTGTCGCCCGATCCTCTGCAGAAGCTGAGTACCGCGCAATGGCGCACACTCTGAGTGAGCTTCTATGGCTCAGGTGGCTTTTGCGAGACCATAATGTCGTGAGACATGGTCCTACTACTTTGTACTGCGACAACCAAGCTGCTTTACATATTGCTGCCAACCCAGTCTTCCATGAGCGCACGAAACATGTAGAGATGGACTGCCACTTCGTCAAGTCGAACGAGGTATCACCAGTGAAGATTGCGACTCGGAACTAGGTGGCCGATATTTTCACAAAAGGGCTTGGGTTTGAGC